GACACTTGCGTTAACTGAAAAACCCAAGTTCGAAGTGTGTGTGTTTTTTCTAGAGACATGATTGACCTGCACATTTTGTTCCTGTGGCTGCATGGGAAACAGACATGCTTGTATGTGTGTACTTGTCCTATTTGACTATACATTGAACAATGTGGTGGTGTTCACATCATAGAAGATATATAGGTTAAACTGAACACTTGGGGATGAAGTCTGATTGAAGCAACTCATGTTCTGAAGCAACCATAGTCTTACTTATAGTCTTGTCCACCGAGTGACCTCAAGCACCCACCATCGCTTTTTACCCAGTTCGACGACGGGGACGTTCTCACAAGTTCTCACTATGTGGGGCTGGAAGTCAAGGGCCGGACCGACGGGCTCGACTCGGCGGGTTCAACCGACGGACCGACGCCGGACCGACTGGAGACTCGACGAGTCGGACAGGGTCGTTCTTCGGATCCACGTGGGGCACCCCCGTTGGGGTAGGAAGGGTTACTCGAAGAAACCGAAGACGACGCGAGGACGAAGGATGGGCCATGAAGCGGAGATGAGATTAGATAAACAACGAAGAACATCCCCGTCAAGACTTAGTCGGCTCAGTCTTCCCAAGTGGTGGATCAGAAGGATTGGTTATAAAGAGTCATTCGGATTTGACTCAAGAGTTCTGAGGGGGTGTAATTATTGTTGGCTGACATTCCATCAGAAGCGGCCAGTCGTTGGAAGCCATCGAAGACTGTCAACTGCGGAGGGGTCACTGGTCACTGGGTGTTCAAGCTCAGTTCGACTCGCCTGGGCAAAGTGTTTGTTTTTTTTTTTCCGGTCAAATCAAGAGGTAAACGAAACAGGGCCCGGCCCAAAAGACCAACGGTGTCCTTATGGGAAACAAGGTCCTTCAACAGTAGGCCTCGATCTGATCTGTTAGACCTTGGGACTGGACTTTTCCCATAAACAAAATCCTTTGAGTCTGTCTTAGTACCATCTAAACAAGTAGATAGAATCGTTATACATGTTGAAAGGGAATTGTACATTTCTATCTATTTGGGGTCTATATAGTACCTGTAACTGTCGGTAATTTTCTATCAATGCAAATCACTCATTTAGAGATGTCGGCCTACAACAAAACCATCATCATCGGTGATAGGATATACCCAAACTATCCTGGACTATTCCTTGGGGCCAGGTTTTTAATATATCATATATCACATATCCCAGTAGGGGTCCACCCCCGTATAGAACGGCTTCTAAGTTTTGTCCGACCACAAAAACGATCTCGGAGGGTGAAATGAGACTATCCCTAGGGCTCCAACATGCTCCAACCATATCCTCAGAAGGTGGTTAGACCCCCCAAACCCACCCCAACCATCTTCTCAGGAGGTGGTTGGAGCCCTAGGATATATACCTTAAGCTTCAAATTCAAGCTAAATATGGTCTTTTATGTGTGCACGCATGTGTTTTTCCATAGCCCCATCATCGTGCCCGTCCGACTCATCGTCGCCTTTGCGCCCCAGGTCCATCGAACACTGGATCCGGGCGCGGCAAATGTCCAGCGCCAGCGGAAGCAGGTGAGGCCGTAGGAGCAGGGAACCGGGCAGGGAACCAGGAGACCAAAACCAACGGACCAACAAGAAACGCTTCAGCGGGAGTCTGGGAGGGTCCAAACTACAGTGTCCAAGTCCCACACAGCGAATGCCAGGATGCCGTTGAGGCCGGTGAGGAGTAGGTTTCGTTGGGCAGAAGGAATGGGTGTTTCGGTTTCGCCGTTTGCTCGGGGTCGGTCGACCGAGACAAACCCGTTTTCACCCTGGTAGGTTGACCATGTCTGGTCTATTCTGGAACCGGGTGGAGGAGTTCGAACCCAGGGTGTCCCGGTACCACGACCCACAGCCAAAGTGTTATGAAGGGAGTGTTTATGGAGTGTTGATGGTTTCACGTTGTAAGGGCCACTTCCAAATGTTTGCACCTGGCGTTGTGTTGAGCAACAGAAGTCAACGAATGGAAGACGTGACGTTTTGTGTTGAAGGAGCGTCCCTCATCATCTATAGATTTGCCTTTCTGGAATACATGGGAATACCTCAAGAAACCCAAGCTGTGTTGTCCTGACACTGAATTTATTGCTCAATATCCAATGAACAATTTTTGGGGGTTGGTTCAGCCGGTTCCTGGTTCCCTGATTTCATCATCCCCAGACCATGGGACGACTGGCACTCTTACCACCCCATTCACCCCTTTTCAATCAACCGTCCCAATGTATGATGTCAGTCCTATGACGTGTTTGGGATTTGTTGATTTTTCAACTACACCAGACGAAGTTCCCGTCTGGGACTGCTCCAGATGTTAACTGAGACTTGAGTGAATCGTTTGTTTCCAGGGGAGGCTCTCCCGTTCCAGTGTCCAACAGTTTGAATACCAATAACATTCAGGTAAAACAAGTTGTGCCTCAGTCAGTGTTTGATTGTTTTCGGGTAGTTTTCAATCGATGTCCCTCGCAGGTCAAACTTTGGAGGAGGCACGGAGGAGGATGGGGAGGAGGAGGAGGAGGACGACGCCTTGTTTTTTTTTTCCTTTTTTCGTATTTGTTTGGAGGAAGGTCGACGCTGGGAGTGCACTGCGCACTTCTCAGAAAGGTTTGGGGTGTATGTTTTCCGTACTACCAGGAAGGTTGGGAAGTAGCAAAAAACAACAGTAATTGAATGTGTTGCACAGAAGGGCGCTTCCGGATTAGTGTTTGGGTGGAGCTTTCTGATATCCAATCCTACCATGGAAGGTCTGAGTCAATCTTGAGTTTATTGTCGATGGTGTTGGGAATGGTCCTCCCTGTCGAACAGTTTATAGATCTATCCTGTAATATTCAATGGTTTCTCGGTGCGAAACTGCCAAATGCCAAACATCTAAGCACACCAGATTGTTTTCTTAGTCAACATACTGCTGCACTCTTCGCCATTTTGCAGCTTGCCAGTTTGCCATGTTCAAAGTAACTCAACGCATTTTGATCATGTTCAAAGAAACATCATGTTCCAAAGGACAAAACACAACGGACAAAAACTCGGCTGAAATCAGCAACGCTGGCTTCTTGTCTTCCGCCTGGATGGCTAACCTCGGCCTTTCTGAACCCATCGCTGGGGAACATTGCACGACCCGCTCCGTCCGTCGCTCCGTCCCTCCGAGGCACCGGGGACTTCGAGGTGGAGAACTCCACGTGCCGTGGCGGATGGTCGGTCGTTACATCGAGGCACGAAACTGCGGGACCGGTGAGCTTGAAACTGACTCCACGTGGGCTGAAACGGTTTCAGGCTGACTTTGCCTTTGGAACCAAGTGGATTTGGATGTTTATCCTTTATGTGTCCAGCTCCTGGGCGTCCACCTCAGCAAGCCAGAAAAGACACAGGTGGGACGTGCCGAGGGTAGGGCCAACCGTTGTCGCTCCCAGTAACATGAATGCTTGGCCCATTTTTGCCAATGTTTAGCAATTTGTTGTCCAGTATGGCACATTTACCTATATGAGTTTCTTTTTTTGGTGGTTACATTGTATGGCATATATTCCATACATGCAGTGTGGCTGGGGTGGACAGTGATTTTGAGGCAATAGCAGGGCGCCGGACTTGTGTTTACAAGAGTTGCTCATGCGCGAGCCGCACGAGTGAGTCCGGCTTTTTTGCCGCCGGGGTTTACCCGGCGGTGAAAGATTTGTTCGACCATTTAGGAGTCACGAACAGTTGCAGTTGAAGTGGAGATTCATGTTCAATATAGGATCAACTTATAATATATGGTATAATTTAGAATCTATAATACCCATAGACTCCATGTATGGAATATATGCCTACATTGACCCCCTAAACCGCCCCAATGTAGGCATATATGGCATACATGGAGCGTCTGGGATATATTTGTACATGTTTACATCCATGCTGCCTCTTCGCAAACGCTCCATTGCGCCCGGGTCTATTCGGGTCTCCATGGCGATCAGGGACGCCGAAGAATCCGGAGCCTGGTGTTCGGAGGGTTTGGCGCTAGTCAAGGGACAAGGGAGAAAGGCCCCGTTTTCTGCGAAGAGGTCGGTTGTTGTTTTGGATGGTTTTTGCCCTTTTGGACATGCATTTTTTGAATTGATTTTTGAAGCATTGGAACATTGAATCAGTGCGCGTGTCACCAGCCGGTATTGTTGCTTTGAACCCATGCATATCCATTGACCCCATGGCTATTGGCCATTTCAAATAAATTGAAGTCACTGATGTCACGTATTCTCCATCGTTACTCTCCAGAGTCACCTGAATTTCAGGGGCTAAAAGCGGCATGACGTGTGCTGAAAGGAAAGGGGTAACCGTTGTGCATTTGATGGTTCTTTTGTAGCTTTTGAACGCATTGTTTCCCATTGTACATATGTAATACACTCTTTGTTTTTGTTGCACTCTTTGGGTCTACTTTTTGGTGAGAAATCTTGTTTTGGTAACAGGGTTCCATTGAGATTAGCTCCCGGGGGTGACTGGGGGATGACTTCTTGGAAACAGCGTTGCCTTGGTGATTTGACATTGAAATCGTGCCAAGGGATGACTAAGGGATGACTTTGTCAGGTTCCTGTATAGATCAGATGTACAGTCCGATGTACATATATAGTAAGATTAGTAAGTTATAAGTTCACATGGTCAACGGGTTTCCCTCCTAAGTCCCTCCTGAAACCCCACCCAGGACCCCCACCAGGCGGACGACCTGGTGCTCTCCCCCGAGCGGTACAGGTTGCCCAAGCGCCAGTCCTGTCTCAGGACTTTTCAACGACACACCAGCCCTTCAGCCATGAGTGCCTTCAGTGGACTCGCTTCGGAGAGCTTCCGCACCAGGTCATTCGGGTGGGTTGGCACCCACCTGGGTTCGTGCCACGTGAACTTAGTTGCCTCTCCTAACAAAGTTCGGTGGGTTCAGATCAAAACGAAACACAAGAAAACCTATGTTAAGAGCCCAGTTCCCGGCAAATGCCTTACCCCCAGCAGAAGCGGAAGTCTTAGTGGCAGATCTATGATTTCTTCATTTGGGAGCAACGGGGTTACTACTATATGGAGGATGCTCTCATGTTCTGTTCCTCGTTCAGGGCCTTTCGACTCTTTAGTGGATTCTGTAACCAGATAGTATTGCGTGAAACTTCATCCAGTAGTTTCAAAGTGACCTTTGGATATCCCAGCCTGAGGTCACTTAGGCCAGTAAAAGGTTACTTAGAGACTCCAAAGAGGTCAGGTTGAAGGTCTGGGATATCATTCCAGTCTCATGGATGATGGTTTGGGCATAAAACCTCGAGAGTGGGGTGCGAGCCCGTGCTCGCCAGATGACCCGTACAACGGCAGACGGTGCTCGACACATCCACCTACTGTTGATGCAGGTGCTGAAGCTAAGCTTCTTCAGCCACTGAGTCATGTAGAGTTTTGATTGATGAAGCTCCTTCAGACTTGGATTGTATAACTTTGTCCTATTACCTGTAACATCCTGTAACAGTCAGTAAACATGTGTAACTATTTTTGAACAAGTCCTGCAACTAAAACCATCATCCACTGTTACAGGTAGACTCGGATAGACCCAATGTATAACCCCTTCAGCCCCCCCCAACCCCAAGGGGTGATTCATCAAGAGTCGACCAGCTTCGTCCGCCAGGCTCGATCGGGCCAGCTCTCCGGCTACAACGCCTCTTGGTCCGACCGGGCAACGTCTCCAACGACGGACCGGAAGAAACGATGGCACCGGTTACGCCATGATGTGGAGGGCGGCCCAGGGTGAGTCCTCCCGGAGGTAGTGTATAAATCCGTATCATGTTTGAGTCAACAAAGGGGTACATGCTAAAGGGATGTAGTATGTAGAGCTATTCCTGTGTTTCTGTGCCCATGCGATGCACATGTTCCAGCAACTTCTACCTCACGTCGTGAATATGCCGGCAAGCGCGATCTCTGCGATCTCGGCAGATTAGGTTTGGGTTTAGTGACAGACATGTGTCAAGTCGAATTCTATTCCACCAATTGACGTCAGTCTGAACATCTGGCAGAAGGTGTGGCTCACTAGCTGATGTCAATTGAGTTGCTTTCGATTCCATGTGATTTCCTGTTCACCATGAGTGTTGGCAGGCTGTTGTTCACCTGCGGTGCCGTGTGTGCGATCGGCAAACGACCAAGTCCTTTCTCAGCAGATTAAACATTGTAATCCCGGAAGCCGCATACCGTATACATCCGTATACCTAGAGCATCCTAAGAGTTTCTTGATAGAAGGTATCACATGATGATCCGGCACAACTTCTGTACATGTACTTTTATTGTCATGAGCTGCCTTAAGTATTTCTGACTTGATCAGAACCTTGCAAAATCGATAGGGGCCAACCCTATACCGATACCCTTTCTTGATTAAGTGGCTTATTGTTAGCATTCCAAAACACTGGAAACCGATAGGGGACCAACCCCAAATATATACTGGTACTTTTAAAGAAGGTTTGTTTGCCACTCACATGGGTATGACCTTCATTCACATGCAGATAAACGTCGGGAAGACCTCTCTCCAACAGCTTCACGATGGTATGTCGATCAATCATCAAAGATTCACCCCAAATCTGACAAAAGCTTAGAGTGGAGAAAGTTCCTTCAGATGCCTCCTCCACAAAAGTTTGTGATTTGAAATCCTGTCCTCCTCCCCTTAGTCTTTTATTTTGTGACATGGCGACAAACTACACTCCGCGCGGAAGAGAAGAGATGTCCGTTCCTCTTCGGCTCAATCGATGGATTGGAGGAGTCGCGTGGATTCCGCCCATCCTCGAATCGAGGCCACACCTCATGGATGCTGCGATGATGGTCAATCACAGCACCCTTCGTCACCTGGCGTTCAGGGGTTCACCCATAGCATGCAGAAGCCACCATAGCAGTTGCAAAAACTGAGTGTTTTTTTCAAGACCCTATATATACACTATAGGTGTTCAAATGTTTTCACTGTTTTCATCACTCAACACTGAGTTCCCAAAGCGATTTCATCACTCAACTCGCCTCCGAACGGATGCTGTTTCCCCTTCGCGGTCTCCGTTCGCTTCGACGGCTTGGCGGACGGATGAACTGTCGCGTTGGTTGGTTGACACGTTCTTTGAAAACCCACCGTTTGTTGATGAATCCCAATGAAAACATCAATCACCCAACCTAAGGTTCCCATTCAGGTGGGCTGACTGTGAGCTTGGGTGTTTCACACCGATCGGTGTTCCAGCTGAACTGGAACAACGGCCGGGACACGGCTTCGCTGGAGTTTGTTCTATACGAGTAAGGCAAGACACCAAGGCACCTACATCCCTAGTACTAACAGACCACGGCTGGCGTTCCTACGTTTGGGAACAGCCGTCGTATGGCTTTGGGACAGAAAAATGCGAGGGAGCATCATGGAGGTTCACATGGCTTTGGGTTGTGGTCTCACCATGTCATTATATGACATGTTTCATTCATTTGCATCTAGTATTGGAATCGAGCACCACAAAAGTTCAATCCTTTGAGCATCAAGTCGAAAGCTGGTTGAGAAAGACAGTCAAGTTATCACAGGTTGCCTCAACAAGCCTGGTGAGTCAGGGAGCCGGCGGTTTCTTCGATGTCGGCGTGAGATACTCACATGTGGCTGGTAGATTACCGTAAGGTCGGGCATGTGGAGGAGATCTATACTAAGAGCTAGCTCCGATTCCTCCATGAAGGTTTCAACTGGTGACCGTCCCTTCGGTCGTTCGAGCTGAGGCGAGTTGGAGGCCGAGGACATCTTAGGCGTTTGGGATGCCACGAAGGACATCCTGGCCTCAGGCGAGGATGGAGAGGCTGCAGGCTGCAGGCTGCAGGCTGCAGGCTGGCCTCGGCATGGAAAGCAAGTCACATGCTGAAAAGGATGAAAAGGGCTGTCTTTGGTTGCTCAAGGGCTCAAGGGAGTGATGGATAAGTTTGGTGTTCGGCTCTTTTTATATGGAATTGTATGAATCTGGCAACACTCGGTGGATTCAGAGTTACCTTTCAGGTTCATTAATGCTTAGAGTCAGTTCTTGACAGACAGTTGGTGAAGAATTCTTTTCTTTGTTTTGTTACTGTACTAACCCTGTAGTAGCCATAGCTTCTGAGGCCCAAAAAGGGTGAGTTGCTACTTTTATTGTTCAGCAGAAGTTGAGAATGCATGGCAATCCTTTCCTTATATGTCCATTGGACCCGCAAGTATTGGCTCTGGTGAGTAGCATGTCCTTCACGATGCGTTATTCGCGCCCGCAATGGTGAGACATGAACTGTTGACATGATTGTTGTTCTATATGTATATATATACCTATAGAACCCATTATTTGACCTCTGCTTTGATAGGAAAAGACAATTTTGGCTCCAAAACAGGGGTTAATCAGGTTCTAGGTATATTTATATATATATATGCATGCTTCTGGCTACTTCTTGGGGGGATCCCCACCCAAAATCGTGAGCAGGGAGGTGGTTCCAAGGAAAATATCTGTGGACAGATGCGGGAAAGCATGGACATAGTATGCTTCCTGCTTGGCTCGGACTCCCTTAGGTCCGACTGGTTTTGGCAGAAGGGTTCGCTTTTTGGGGCACAGGTTTTACCAGCTTAGAACTGGGGTTTGAGGTGTTCTATGACCGGTCATAGGGCCAAGAAAAGGCCCATGATCATCTCACTGATAGGTCCTAACTCATCTCAACACCACCCTGCTCGCATGGGACGCTCCGCCACGGTCGACCGTGCGGGAATCGAGCAGGTAGTGACGAGGAGAAGATGCCGCAGACCAGGTGGGTGGTGCTGGATCGGTCCAAAGACGTCTTCGAACGTTGGAATCTCATAAGGTTTGAAGAGCTGGGGAGAGGGTAAGATAAAGCAAGAGGAGTGGGAAGAGAGCTGTTCCAATCGACAGCCAGGGTGCCCCCCAGCAAGTGTTTCCAGGTTGGAGTCGCTTTTTGTTCGGGGGTTTGGACGTCACTTCCCCCAAGCTGAGGGTCCCGGGCTTGGACATCAAGCCGCTTGGGACGTCGCTGAGGTATATGCCGTGCCTTCTTCGGTGTTGAGATGGGTCCATCCTTGCGCTTGCGATCGCAGAAACCACCTCCTGGTCACCGCTGCCTGGTTCACCAGGGTCACTTGTGTGGGTGTCCGGTCAGGCCGAGTTGGTTCTTCGTGGACCAAAACATGGCTTCGGTGTCCAAACGGACAAAGGATGACAAAGGTCAATTTTTGGACAACTCAGTCACGTAGTGAGCCACTCGATTTTGTGGAACATGTCAGTGACATCTGAGACGAGAAAGTACACAGTACGCAACAACTGGAGTGTGTTTGACAATTGCACGACAAGAGGCCGGCTATGGCTTGGATAATATGACCCAGGAAACTGCCAAATTTGTTATATATATTTATATATGCTTATTTGTTCATGAAGAGTAGTCGAGTGCAGCGTGGATCTACTGTTTTTGTATGTCTTTGTTCTGTATATGTGTACGGTCCGGTGTGAGAAAGTCACACCAGTATGAGTGGCCACGGGGCCACCCAACCAAACAGGTTCGGGCCACCCCAAGAGTTGGATACAACTCTTCTTCACCAACACGTCTTCACGTGCCACCTCCAACGAATCCATCCTCCGTGCTTCAACGAATCCCCCCAACCGCCTCGTGTTGAAACTCCGCATCACGTCTCGGAACCGCCGTGCGTCGACATCAGACGAGCGTTCGCAGGTGCCAACGACTCCTGCAGAGCAGACCCTTCGAGCTCTGCATGGTTTGCTACTTCGGCCATCGACATCAATGGGGTGAAACTCACGGGTGTCTATCAAGGGCGCCCATAAAGAGTCCCAGGGGTGTGAACCACATGAACCACCTGAACCTGGGAGTCCGAACGTACATGGGGACTGAACTCGACTCGACCAAATTCATCCGGACTGGCATAGGACTGCCAATCACTTGGGGTGAACAGAGGTCAATGCATACATGTGGTGCTTCACTCCCAACATGGAAGTGGAACCTGGCCCCCATTTTGGACGACCATGAAATCTGAATACCAGACCGGTGGTTTTCCATGGTTTTCCACTTCCATGATGGTATCCAGGTTGTCTACTCTTGTCGTGTTGACTAGGCACAAACCCAGCACTTGCATCCCTGAAGGCACTCCGACCCTGTGTTTGGGGCCAGCTTCATGTGGACTACTCGTCGTGCTTTTGGGGTCAGACAAAGTACCAAAATGAGATGGATTATATCAGTTGTGACAACAGTTTTCTATGTGCCAGTTGCTCTGGATTTACTCGTGCTAAACTTACCTGATCCATTTGACATTTGAGCAAGACCGTACTAATTTACAGAGCTGGGGCTGAGATCCAACGGTTTGCACATGGCACCACATCACCTTGTCTCAGCACTGTGGCACTGGTACCTGAAGGTGCGGAAACTCTGGGTTTGTTGGATCTTGGGACGACAGTGATTGATGTACGAAACGACCTATGGTGCGGAAGAGCTGCTGTCGAATAATGCTGTCGAGCCACTCGATCGATCGACGCCGTATCCTGTATGCCAGTTGCCCGCTAGGGTCCAAACAGCCTGGAACGGAACGACCAACACCACAAAAAGGTCAACCGGCCGGTCTCCTGGTGCCATTAGAAACCAAAGGCAAATGTCTTTGTGACCCAAAGCCACATGTTGTTTTTGGTTTTCGCTTGACTCGGCTCAGGTCTTTTGTTGGCCAATGTCTTCTGGATGGCATTGCACTTGTCCCCTGTCAATGCGGAAAAGGGACCAGTCGGCCGGAGCTGGTGGTCACACGGTTGTGGCGTTGGCAGTAACGGAGAAACGGCCAACAGCTGTAGAACTCCAACAATGCAATACAATGCATTTGTATATAAGTGTAAACAAAATAACATATATGGGTGGCCCCCTGGGGCACTATTTACATACACAATGATTTGGGAACCATTTGCTGTTGCATGATTTGGAGACTATGCCCAATGCAAAAAAACAGAAAACAAACACATATTGTCTTTGTATATATATATGTTTAAATAGGCTTGCATGTATTCTACAACTTGATGTTCTACAATTTGCGAAAGCATCATTAGGATTCATTAGGTAAGTTAATATCCGAGTTGCTCACTCTCCAGCTTCCAAACATATTCTAAAAAAAACAACAACAAAAACAATAATTCCCTTGCCTGTTCTTCATTTTCAGCCTTCATGGTGAAGGCATCAATCTTAACACTATTCATTGTAATACCTGCATCCTCAGTTTTAAGTATGCTTTATACATTGAAACATGTGGATGTTGTAAAATATAATGCAATATATTGTAAATTATATATATATGTCGTTTGATATACAAGTATCTATATGTTGCATTGAAAGAACACAATGTGCCTCCTGTTCAGTTTCAAATGATGAATGACAACTTTGGTGTCCCTCACTCTTCTTCAACTTCTTCCCGAGCCACCACACTTGCAAACAAACAACACCATTGTGGGGGGGGGGCTGACATAAGCACTAGCAACTTTAAGTTCATTAGGTCTTGGAACACTTCCCCAGGGGGGCCCTAATCAGCGTAAAGTGAGTTTTGCTAATGGCAGTTGCAACCCCACGGAGAAGTCCAGTGTTGTACTCCTTCCAAGCCTGCTAGGCAGCTTTGCAACTCTACTACATGAACCATTACGTCATTACGCCAATAAAGATATTAATGTAGACTCTTGATTAGTAAAGTAATCTAAACAATCTTATTCAATCCCAATGGGTTCTTATATTCATCAAGGGTCTATAGTATATAGACATGAACTTGCGCGACGCTTCGCGATCATGGGCTTCCAGTTCAGCCTCCAGGCTTAGGTCGTATAGTTCCTGGTCTGAGGTCCTTCGTTCCAACTGACGGCTCTGGCGTTCCAAGTGACTGTCTAGACGTCCGTCGGAACCGGTTTGGACGTCCGAGGCAAGTCTATGGTTGGGCCAGCTACGCCCAGGAGACCTTGCACCTTGGAAGAGCAGAGCGCAGTACCGTGTGCGTACGTGCCGTACGGGTTTTTCACCACCCGTTTTTGACAAAGCCAGGAATGGTCGAGTGCCGTCTTCCTTTTTTGACAAACAAGACATGCCCATTTGGAGATGTTGGGGATTGAAAGGATTTCTTTCCAGGCCGTTCGTCCAAAGCTCAGTCCGGATCTGGATGGGCTGCGTTCGGCTCACTTTGTGCGGTCGTAATTTACCGGTTTTTCCGATCATGTATCCTGCAATGTACTGTCCGGTCATTTGCATGGGGTGATACCGTCCGTCCAGTATTTTTTAGTGTAATTTACACGGGCCTTTCATGTATGTCACTAGTCCAGTTCCATGGATGGTAGGATTCTGGACACCAATACCTTCCCAGGAGGGTAGATGGTAGGACCATTCACTATCTATACCTGCAAGCCTGCAAGCAAAGATGGACTGCCAGGTACCATGCCTGCGAAGAGGATTTCCGTACAGGGCTGGTTGTTCAGTCTCTATTAAAGTATTGGCTATGGGCTATGGCTATGGGTCAATAGCGGAAAGCCTCGGTTGACCTGTCCAACAAATGGCTCAGGTTCAGGGATGTCAACCTACCATTGCTTTGGTGGGGAAGGTTCTTTGCGGTGTTTTGAGACCTGAACTAGGACTAGGACCCAAACTCATGGTACATATGGGATGGGCGATAGTGATGAAAAAACCAGCCAGTACCGTTGGACGGTTCTATCTATCGTGGTCCCCAAATAATAGACAGAACTGGTTTCCAATACAATATTAGTGAGAAATAGTGAGAATCGACGCTTCCAATCTTTTCTATCTGGATCCCTGGTTTTTCCAATCTATTTAAACCCACCCTCCACCACAACCTTTCCCCACTCTTTCGCTCCTAAAAACGGCCAGGCTGCTTGTGCTTGAGCCAAGCTTGGCTGTGCAGCGAATTGCCCACCAAAAAAAGCCTGGTGTGGGCTTGAGTCCTTGGTTTTTTCCCCACCAAAAAATGAACAGATGAGATTGCCAGATTCTGGGTTTAGGGCTCCCACCAAACCCTAAACCCTAAACCCTACTGGTACGATGCCAGGAGCTCCAGGTGCCATGACACACCGAACACTGCATGCTGTGCTGTGTGTCCACAGGTCGTCGACCTGGAGCACCGCCTTCGAGACGCTTGGAGCACCACTGTGCTGGCAAGGAAACAGGGCGCTGAACTCTTGAGTTTGCTAGATCGATGTCTTTATGCGTGGAACACCTTTATATATCAACATAATTCAAGCACTATTACAATATATACATAATTTATCATAATTTGTTTATGGGTGGCTTTATTTTTGGCTTTTCAAATCAATTTCCAGTTCGGAAACACAACTCTCACCGATGAAGACCAGGTCTCAGCGAAATCGGGGCTTAGGTATTTTGCAAATTGATGTCTTTTGATTGGAGAAGGACTTTCGGAAGAGGCAAACGAAGAGGCAAATAGCACAGGTCACGGATGTCTTGGATTTTGTGGCCCTAGCATTCCAGTAACTTTTGAGAGCCCTCAGACCCAAGGTATCCTGAGGTCAGGGTTCTCCTATACACTGTGATCATCCGTGATCCCTACTCTGGAAGGGAGACATGTCACATGTCCGACGAGTTCGTGCAGGATGTCTTCCATGATTTACAGTACTGCTTCGACAAGTCCAATCCACCATATAAAGCCATAACCCATACACTCCATGTATGGAAATGCCTACATTGGGGCGGTTTAGGGGTCAATGTAGGCATATATTCCATACATGGAGCGTTTGGTGCTCGGCGACGAGAAAGCTGTAGATATAGTCCTAGGTCATGAACTCCGAAGGGCATGGTCATGATGGCACGGAGGATAATGCATTGAAAAGGAAGCAGGATATATTTTGCCGTGTGTTTTCGAAGACTTAGGATGTGATAAAACGTGTTCAACCCACCCTACACTTTGCTTTGCTTGCTCATATGCTCAGATTTGTAGGAGAAAGCACCCACCCACCCCATGGCCTTATCTACATAATTACATGGAATACATGGCCTTCGTTGGCCAAGTCCTGGTACATGAAGACCAAGTTAGATAGATGGAGGTTAGCATTTGAAAGGTATTTGCTTCCTTGGACGCTTCCTTGGCAAGACGAGGCGAGGCTTCTCAAAGCGGAGTTGACCTTTTTCTAGGCATGTAGGATGTTTAGAGCCGCATTGGGAGAGTTCAGGAGTTCAGGACTTCTCTCATCTAAGACTTCTTGAGCCTTTAAGAGGATACATGAAGCGCATGAAGACCTCAACTCCTGGCTTTGTCACATGAAGCACGGACGTTTGGCAACCAAACAAGACAGAACAACAAGCAACACAGCACATGTTCCACCTCATCCACTGGCCCTAGGGTGGGTGACGTGGCCTTTGCAGTGATCTTTGCTGTGGAGGCGACGAAGAGGGGACGTTCCACGCAGCGAATTCGTTCGAGTGATTTTCTCTCCAAACAGATGGTGTTCACCGAATCATGTGTGTAGTGGGAAAGTTCTTCCCATCCAGGACCCGAGGACCTTCAAAATGACCTCTTTGGAGTGTAGGAAAGAAGGACTAAGTGACCTCATTCTTGGATCTCTAGAGTCTAGAGCTCACTTTCAAGGTCCAGGAACAAGAGCGCTGGACTTCTGCATTGTTTTTGGCACCGTGCGCCCAACCTTGGCCGCGGCATGCGCGCCTGTTTGCCGCGGGTCCAGGTGACACTACGAGGGCTCGTCCAGGGGCGGAGGTTCTGGCTTGCATGGATGAACTACATCGATGTGACCTGGAGGAATCAAGCGATTGGACCTGGACCCTCCAAAAACCATCCAGTGGGTGGACCATGAGCAGAACGGACGTTGCCAGCTTGGACCCATCACCGAAGTACTTCTTCATCGCATTTGACCAGGTGGATCTCCCAACGAAGAGGATGAAACGACTCCGTGTTGGGTTTTCCATCGGTTTGGAGGGTCGAGCGATGAAACGCACCACCCACAGATCGCACCACCCCACAGTCGACCCTCGGTGACCCATGGCCTCTTGTCGTCTCGTTTTCCGGAGACAACCCGTCCAAACGAGCCCAGGCTGTTCTGTGGTGTCGGGTCCGTCCAATTTGGGTGCGGCCCGAGGTGCCAGAACAGTCACGAACTGTTGTGAGGAGGGTCAAACATCACATCTCAACGATGGTTTTTGGGCCTTATACAGTATACAGTCTATAGTTTCTTGTGGCAAGGACGCAAACCTGCAAGTGTCCGAAGCGTCGAACGTTTACTTACATTGATCGCATCTATGAGGCAAAGGGCTCGTCAGATGGCGCCAGGAAAGCTGCCAGAACTCCGGCCTCTCACGTCCCTGGTTGGTGAGAGAAGAACTCATTTCCATTGCTTCGCAGGTGCAGTTGTGTCTCATGTCCATATTGCGTATCCAGTTCATATTACAACTTCTGATATCCGTCATATTACATATCCAGTCAGTGGTTAACCTTTACTTAGCCATTGACAAAAAGATTGTTTTCCAATCGAGGTTGAGTCATATTATGAGCCGGTACATGATCTTCACCATATGTTAACCCCTGTATTCTCCAGAGGTTACTGTCCACTTCCTTTCCACTCGCTGTTCCCTGGCACTTGGACAGTCCCGCGTACCGAACGATTCAGCAAGGTGATCGTTGGCATCGCATGTGCAACTGGGCGTTTTACGCGGTTCCGCCGCACTGGAACGTGATCCAACCGAGCGCCCTCTTCATGACCTTCGACGATTGGGGTGCCGCAACTAGTTGTCTACCCTCTTGGCATAGCTCAGGGATTAGGATGCTTCCCTCAAGAGACTCCCTTGGAATGATGTGTGTTATGCCTACTAGCATCCTAATATGGCAGGATATGACAAGTTGAAGTCAGGACAAGACAACCCCGGGCAAAACATGGAAAAACAATTGCATCGATCCATTAAATCATTTCAGTCATGTCCTTTATCATACATCCATCACTTTCTGTCCCGGCATCCATCGGTGCGTCCATCATTGTTTTGTCCATCTACCTGAAACTTCAAATGGCTGAATTTTCCTGGTCGTACGGCCGTGGCCGTTTTTTTGGTCATTACGGTTTGCTGTTATTTCCGTGTTTTTTATTGTCATTTCCGGGAAAAGGCCAACATATTTTTTTGGTGTTTATTGTGACATATGTTTTTGCTGTTTTTTTTTTTTGCGTTGTTCGGGTAGTATCCATATTTGGGTCAAATATGCCTAAAATAACGAGCGATTTCAGTCATTTAACTGACATTTTTTCTGGTCATTACGGATAAAGCTGAACTTTGACCATATTCCCTGGTCATTACGGCATATTCTCAAAATGGCTGAACAAAAATCAGGCAAACGCGACTCCAGGTAGGAGAATGAGCCCCAACCAGTCTCATTGTGTCTCACCTAGCTCAGGACAGCTTTGGTGGATCAAAACCTATACCCGGACCTGGTTCCTAAAAACCTGAGGGTGGTAGGTTCCATGGCTCTAGCGGGTCCCCAAATCCACCAAAATTGGTTTTGGATGGATCAGAATCACAGTTGTGTTATGTTCTTTTGTTCAGACTATTTGTACGACCCACAAAAAATACGGTGTGGTTTTTCAACATGTCCACACTTTGGCGGCTGTTTTTGTTGGGCGACCTTTGCACTGAGGTGATTGAAATTTTCTACATCGCCACTGCGACTCGCACCTTTGATTTTTCCCTCATCCGCCTTCTGCGTGTGGTCAAGATCACCAAGTCTGTTCGAATGCGGCCTGGCGCAGGTTCAGTCAGTCGCACGGAACCTTCGCAGTGCAGGAGACGAAGGGTTTCAAATCAGTTGGAGACTGGCAGCCAGTGATAACAGTTGAGTTGTTTGAGGTCTTTTGAGGTCTTCTGGGGGGAGATCAGGTCGACTCAGACTGGTGCCTTCATATCGCTGTATTTAGCTGACCAAGCTTGTGCACATTTAGCACATGTCCGCTTATGGGCTCTTCAACCAGATGGTTTGATATCTGAAAATGTTGGACGTGCAGCAAACAGTAGGAAAGACGAGAAATCAGAAACCTTGGGTCTCTTTGGAAAACTAGTGTTTGGTTAACAAAGTCGTTATAAGTTCAAAGTTGGGTGGGCTCTCTTTGTGAAATCGGCAATTCCAAGCAACATCCACTCAGGGTTCAGTGTCACGGTTTCCTCGACCGAGTTTGCTGGAGAACTGTCCAATAAGCAATGTTCTGCATCCGGTAGGATCTATGAGGGGAGAACTCCGGGCAAGAAAATCTAAGAACGTTTGTCCAACATATAGTCCAAACCGGGTATATTATATATATACACGGTATACGGGCTAATTCTGTGGAGGTCCTAAGTCTTTGCCACACTCAAATGTTCTTGATGTGCTTTCCTTAGCCTGGTTTTGCTTAGGTGATATGTCGATGTTCCCCAAGCTTGCTTCGCGGCGTATACCCAGCCTGGGAATCTATGGACTCTGAGTTGACTCCTCAAACACAGATCCAACTATATAGAATATATAGCACATGGCACTCCAGCAAACCTATGTGGCTCTCCAGCGCAAACCTCAAAACCAAAAGTTCCAGGATGAATGCAAACAAAGAAATGCCATGGCAATGATAACTGATTAAACATGATTAAATTATTAAGTTTAAAAATGTTTAAAAGGTTCTAAATCCGGCCAGTTTCTTTTGTTTCCCACAGTGTTCCACAGCAAGAAGTGCGGTATTAATGAAGAAACTGTTGCACCACCAGGTTCGAATCCTTCTATCACACTTAAAACTGGCATATCGCAACCGCCAATAACGTGTGAAATTCCTGGGTCGCCACATCCATCATCATCACCAGTACCTTGGCGCCGTGGACTGAGGTTCAACATCACCAGTACTTTGGCGCCTTTGCATTTGCTCATCAAGTGCTTGGAGGTGCGGCGGAGATCCGGAGATCACACCTCCTGGCCTACATCCCCTTCAGTTCGGCAGTTCAAGTAGGGGTTTGTGCCCACCGGTCACCTAAGAATCTGGACTGTTCGAAACTCGGAGAACGAACTCGCAGGAGGAACCACCTATGCAGGAACTCGCACGGCTTCCATCCGAGGCACCGGCGAACGGATGCCTGCACCGGCACCGGCAAACCAGGTCCGACTTCGAAGGTCATGGGACTGGACCACAAACACTCCATAAAACTGGACTATAGACCGACGACCCCTGAAACCACCTGGACCTCAATGATCCCACATGTAGGTCAATATGCCTGTCTCATTGTATAGTGTTGGGGAGGGTTCCTCTTGCTTTTCCGACCGTGTGTGTTCTGGTGTGTCTCTGGCTGATCATCCATTCGAACCTCCGTGGAATCTCCATGGTGGTGAGGTAAATGACTTCCATAAATGGTGCTACAAAAGGAATGAACAGTGATTTCATGTGATTTCAGAATAGATGGCACAGCCCCCTCAAATGTCTTTGAGATGAGGGTCCATAGAAACCACCTTTGGGGGATCGTGCCATCTACTATTCATCCAAAATCCTTGATCCTTGGGGTCGTTCCACATCACAATATTCACCATGTACAGCTGGATTGTTTCATCAGCCATTGCATTCGCGACCCAGCACATTGCCGAGAAGATTTCCAGACCCCCCGCAGCTCCGCCTCGTTCAAGCCGCGCTGTGGTCCGCGCAGCAGGCCTGCGTGGGCATGCTGTTTTGGAGCTTCCTCTTGATGAGCTTCGTTCAATGTGCCTTGAAACGGTGAACGGAGCCTGTCTGCCGAAGTTCCAATGAGGTCCATACCGTAGAAAAGGTCACACATGAATGTTTGTGTTGGTGCCTACTGACCACTAGCTTGTGGAGATGACATATTCAAGATGCCAGACAATCTTCAGAAGGCACTGCAATTCAAAGGGAAGATCATTCCAAGATCCACATGTCATGATGAGTTAGAACAATCGCTGGAAACAAGGGTGCGTTGGTGGTCATTGAATGGTTGGCTTTGTTGTCTCTGCCGTAGATTGAGACACATTATGGAATCTAACCCATATCCCACCCAGAGCGGGATACCAGGTTCAGTCAGCTTGCCAAAATGCTAGAATCAACCAACCACACCAGGTTCTACGTGCATGAAACTGGGCTGGCTGGCCTTCTCAGAAGTGGGTATTTTGCCTGTAGCTTCTAAAGGTGATGGACAAAATATATAACTGGAGCGTCCAACATGGGTTCAATAACCACCTGGAGGGTTCGGATACATGAGATTCAACATGTACCAGGATTCTCCAATAGGATCATATCATATCGCATCGAATATCTTTTTGGATGTACAGGTCTCAATTGGTGAACTGTTGGAGGGTCCTGATTTCTTAGGCTCCTAATCAACCAGTTTCTTCCATCCAAGTCATCCAGAAAGCCTTCTCCCCCGGCGCTCGGTGCAATTGCTCGTCACCACAAAAAGCATCTGGGTCAGACACAGGCATGGCGGGAATCATCGTCAGCGAGCTTTGCTATGGCCTCTTGGCAAGCGGATGTGGCAGAAGAGCCGAGGATGCGGAGGATGCGGGCGGAGGGGGTCCTCCAAGTTTCAGAACCCGAGAAAGGTTGGGCCTTGGGAGAATCGAGAGGAAGCAAATCGACCATAACAGGATGGGTTCAAAGCCTATATTGGGCCTTTGACAAACATTGTAAGACGGATCAAAGAACAACCAGTCAGGATCGGCATAAATCCGTTTCTGAGTCATTGGATATGCCTGAGGTCAGGGGGGTTGGGGGTCCCAAGTAAGGCAGCTCCGAGGTCAGGAGCCTTTGACTGGCAGCGGGGTGCAACCCGACTCACCTGGGAGGGTCGCACCCGAACGTCGCAGAGAAGTTGGGTCGCGCGCGACGGTCGTTTTGGTTCGACGGTCACGGGCTCGACCTAAATAGTATAGGCGACCCTATAGACGTCAGATCTTCGGACCCAGATCACCCATGTCGAACGGAGTTATGGTTCGACGGGCACGGTGACTGAAGGCTTAGGCACACCTGGCTGCGATCGAGGTGAAAAAGCTGCGAAGTCATGTGACATTGTAAGGCTGAGCTGGTGACGCCGCCTTTTTCGCCAGACAATCGACTGGTCAAAAAAGCCAAGTGGGACCGCGTGGGACTTTGACTTGATTCACAAGCGTCATTACTGTCATTCCTGCCACAGCTCCTGGCTAGCCCATATTATGTCAATGTTTCAGTGCTTTTCCTTTCAAATGAAAAAGCAATACAAACCACACATCTACCGTCATTGTGTAGATGCCACAGTACATAGATCCAGACCCCCTTCCCTTGCCTTATAAACGTACTTCGCTACATACGACGTCAGTGAACGGACGCATTTGCTTCTGAACGTCAGTGAGGCTTCATTTCCGATCCTCAAAACGACCGTGCTGCTCGAGATCTGGTCTTCACGTCCGCCCGGCGAGAGTTCCGGGTGGCCGTTTGGGAGTGGAAACGGAGATGCCAAAATCAGATACTCCACTGACCCTCCTGGCACCTACATAACAGATCATAACCGTGTCTCCAATCACCTTCTGATAAGGTACTGACTTGGATTTGTAGGTGAGTTCATGGAAGGGTTGCAGTATACAGGAGCCTGACCAACTGTTTTGTGGAACGGTTCCTAGCCGCCATCGATGGATCCTGGGACTCGCTCATGACCTCCGCCTTCTGACTCGTCATGTCAGGTTTTTACGGATTTCGGCAGGCATGGTGCCAAAGGATGCGAACTGAATGGTGTAGAATCTTCAAATTTTATGGTGGAGAACCTGGATGAGAAGGGAACTACATCGCGAAAAACTTTCAGACACACACACACACAGACCCGACGGCTGCCTGTGGCAGTTCATTGAGTCTTGAGGACGGTGGTTGGTGAGACTACCCAGACATACCGATGACGTTGCAAACAACATCAAACAACCATTCAGACCTGAAAGCCTAGAGATTTGGAACTGTTTTCACTAGTTTGGCGCAAACAGAATGCATGTCGGGTTTCCAGGTAAAGGAGGAACATCATTTCCATCAAGCAGTGTCAGAAGTTGAGAGATAGTGATAGGTGTCCTCAGGAGTTGAACAGTTGGGTGATCAGTTGACTCTGTCTTTTTGGTGGAGCCCACCCCTCATTGCTGTTCCTTCCATTTCTTTCTACACCGAGCTACTCGGCCCGGTGTCCCCTCTCCAGTCACCGTCCACCGAACCGAAGCGGAGGCTGCAGCGTGGCGACGACCGCACGAACGGCCGCACGGACGTCGCCAGGTACTATGGAACCTTCACGCGAACGATCCTCTCGATGTTCGAGCCTCCGACGCGATGGGGACGCGGACGGAGGGTTCAGTCGGACGCGTCGGCTTCTTTGGGAGTCGGTGGGGCGAGGTGGTTGGACGGCTTGGGCCGGGCAGGTGCTTTTGGGCGAAAGTTCGAGCGGGTTGTGCGGTGAGGAGGCGTAGAAATAGTTTCGTTGGGTGTAGGGGGTGTATAGAATAGATTTATAGGGGGGTCTGAAGTTTGAAGTGGAGTAAAAAGATGTAATGTGGAGCAACTTGAGAAGATGTGGAGCTTTGATGAGCAACTGGAGAATTCCCCCTTGTTCATGGAGGTTCTTGAAGAGTTTGATTCCAAATCTGTTGGGCCCTTGGGATGTGGATCTGGAGTCAACAGTAGATCCAACCCCCTGGAGAAGACAATTCGCCACGCAAATCACAGCGGCACAGCGGCGGAGACCCAGCAGCCCCAGCCAGCACCGGGGCGTACATCCGACCCCCTGGAGAAGACACATGCGGCTGCAAGGCGCACATAAAGCGCAGGCCAGCTTTGGAATTGTGGGGTTGGGAAGTCTCGGGCTTTGCAAAAATCCATGAATCTTCGGGGCTGAACTCCAGTCTATGCCGTCCAACCACAGCAAGCCAAGGAGGTGGTATATTCTATGGAGCTTCCTGGGCTGCACGTTTTTCATTTTCGCACCAAAACAGGTGCAGCGCCAGACGTATGTGTGTGTGTGTAGTCTTGCTCTGCCACAGCCTGGGCTCATTGGAATGAATGGCTGGAGGCAGTGTTCCAGGCGCACAGCGCCCAACGAAGAAAAGTTCGCCAAAGGTAGATAGTTCCCTATCCGTAGACTTCAATGTTCAGCGAAAAGAAACCCTGCGAAGGCAAAGTGATTGCTGCAGCGAAGACAGCAAAACCATGTCAACTCATGCTTCCGTCAAGCGGACAAGCCAACAGAAGGAACATCACAGCTGGGTGCGGAAGTAGCGATGAGGTTCCTCAGGAACCGCAAAGCACTCCGCTGCCTATCAAGCGCTGAAGCAGACCAGGCCACTGCAGCATCAAAGGTAACTTTCCAATCAAGAAGCTCGTGCACAGACCGGGCAGCCTGTTCCTGAGCTCTGGCATCGGCTCTCTTGTTGAGGAGTCTCCAAGTCTCGGCCAGGTGGCCAGCAAGAGACGGTGTCCAATCAAGAAGCTTGTCGTGCGAAGGCACCCACGCAATTTCGTGGGTGGAGCAGACTAAGCTTAAGGCCTTCCACAAGTCCGGCGCCCACTGAGGCAAATATCCCGTCTTTTGGATTTGCTTCACACGTCTGACGACTGCAAGGTTATCACAAACCAACAGAAGATCTACGCGCAAATGAGTCGCAGCAATGAAAGCTTTCAAAACAGCAATTGATTCAGCACCAAAAATGTTTTGATCCAGTCCCTGGAGATGGGCAAGCAGCTCTGCGCATATTCTGGACCTTTTGAGAACTACCATCGGTATGACGTATAATATGAGAAAAGCAAAGACCCATCACCGGTAAGAACAACAAATAACAGTTGCATGATAGATCTTGGATGGAGATTGACAATACACTACCAAGCACAGGCGGGTGAGAACAGAAAGAAGGGAAAAAGGACGGAGTTCACCAGCATCCGCTGCGCAGCTACGCGCGTGGGGTGCGTTGCAGCCACGTGCAATGTGTGGCACGGTTTGTCCGCCTTCAGGCCGGCGCATCCGAGCAGTGACTTTCACTGCTCTTGCTCTGACAGGGGGTTCTCACTAGAACAAAAACAAATCCCTCCTTTCCAGTGCAACCTGTAGATCGATCTATGTTTGCCTGCCTTCTCTTGGGCACGCTCTTCAAGACCGATTCTTTCTCCGTTTCTTTTTTGGGCAGCCTTCTGTTAGGAAGGCACGATTTGCTTTGCAAGCGTCTTTTGTGTATCTGAAATCTGTGTGCTTTTGGACAACTTCTAGCCCGAAGCAGCCAGTGCACAGTTCAGTTTTGGTCAGCTTCAAAGCTCGCTTTGGGCCTTGAGTCTCGGAAAAATGCCGATCAGGAAGTTTATCGATGGGCCAATCTGTTCAGACCCATCTGTCCTCCGCGCGCGCGCGCGCCCGCGCCACTCAGGGCGAAGGTGTACATCGGGCTCAGATTTCGGCTCACCCAAAGATCCTTGGTCATGAACTTAGTGGCTCGCAAGGACGCAGGAGCACCCCTCGTGAGACTGAGCGACTTGCTGAAGCTGTTGCTCAGATCCGAAAGGCTCGTTTTCTGCCAGTGTCTTGGTCCACAAAAAAGGCCGTGTTATCCGCAGGCCCTTTGGCTAAGGTCTGTTGGGGTTGGGGTTTTCGCTTGCCCCAACAACGCGAAATCCAGAAGGTTCAGTCGGCCGTCATCCGGAGTCTTCAAGAACCTGTTGCGGGATCCAAGTGGTTGAGACACTTGCTTAGAGGTCATCAACTTCACATGTTCCTTCGCATTACAGTTGGTCACTTCGGTGCGGCTTGGAGACAAACTCAGAAGCGTACTCCGGCGAATGCGATGGTTTGGACTACCAAAGGTTTCCCCGGGGTCTTGAACAAGTGTCTGCGTCACTTCGGTTGGTCTTCTGATGGCCCTTGGCATTGGTCACACCCTGCCTTGCCTCCCTTGAATCTTCACAAAGCCCTTCCTAAGTTGGATTGGTGTCTCCATAACATCCGCGAGAGCGCTCGTCGACTCTTTTGGGAGCGGCATCACGACCGGAATCGTCGCGATTCGTTTCATGGGCAGCGCTACAATGCCGATGCTTGTCGTTGTGCACGTCGCTGCGCTGACAAAAGATGTAACTTTGCGATCTTGTCGGGGGCTGCAGTTAGCCCCGCTTGCCTTGCTCGAATGAAATCTGAACGGGTTGATGAATTCTGCCCCAGATGTTCCCAAACGGTGGCCCCCACTTGGTTGCACCTTGCCTGGGAATGCACAGGTTTGCAAAGTGAACGTGAATCCTACATTCGCGATCCTTCAGCGTATCCTGAGGATTTGTTCCACAAACGGACAGGTTGGCCTCGACATGTGTGGGCGCCGCGCATGAGCAGGTACTCGGCTGGCTTAGCCATCTGAGGCGTCTGCTGCTGCGCGAGCGCTATGATCGGAGCTAAAAGCGGCGCTGCGGTGCTGCGGTGAGGGCGGCTGCTGAGAAGTCGTTTTCAACCTGAATATTGTCATCCCGCGCCACTCAGGAGATCATGTTCGCCAACTGGGCACCAGCCTGCCGCGTGTTGGTGGACAATGTGAGCGAATGGTTCTCAGCCTCTTGGGCCGAATCCACCAGCCTCGCCGGACGGGTGGGAGGTTGTATGGGGAAAGGTGAGTGAAGTGAAGGGGGTTTGTGTTTAGTGGACGAAGTGCAGTATCCCTGTTCATGGTTTCAGAAAGTGCGTGGTTCATTGATCCCAATTCAACAAAAATTTCACAACACAGGTCTTTGGAACCACTAGTTACTTCTCTGTAGCTGTGATGTTGATGGAGTATCATTGGATCCAACTTTGAACTGGTGGAATATTCTGTGGTGTTCATCCAATCAACAAATGACTGCAAATATAGTATAGTAAGGTCCCTCAGTCCCTCACGGAAATTATTCATGTTTTTTTAGGGGATTTTCAAACATAGTTTGGATTTGCGAACCCATGTGAGTCAACAGTCAACCCAATCCTTCCAAAATCAATGGTAGGTTGACCTCCCTTAATCGTCGGTGTTCTTGCTGGTCAACCTCCCGTCAAACCTGGGAATGCCAACGTACTGAACCGCAATGAGTTGGGAGATGTCGACTTCCCATTGATTGAGCCTAGTCGTATCAGAGTGCATCCTATGACAATGAAACAAGTTTTTTTCGGTATATAAAGATGGTAGAGGCTGGTAAAGACTGTATACCATCATCCACAGTTTTCCAAAGCACGTTTATCATGCTTCTCAGTTCCAACACATGTACTGAGTCATGTACTGTAAGATAATGTAAGTAAATACTTGTTTTTTCGATTGAACATAAATGTTGACCCAAACGTTTTTGGATTCAGGACAAAGAAACATGGTTTTATGTTGATGAGATGGCCTTCATATTGTTGGTGGGCAAGCTGACAAGCTGCACCATCCCACAACCAGAATACCTTGCCCCTTTCCACAAAGTTTCCTGCCGAGTCAGTGGCAATGTGTATTTTTGCCCAACGAATAGATAGAAACAACACTAATATAAAGAGTCACTTCTATATTCCAAGAAAGCTGAGGGGTCATTCTCGGCTAGTGATGCCTGTTTCCTTTGGTTTCGCTCCACCATTGAGGTCTTTTTCCTGGTCTACAGGCGCATGGGAGCACACAAGTAGATTGGGAATGCTTTTCAGAGACTCCAAGTGCTGGGGTTGGATAGGAAAATCCCTGACACTTCAGACACAACTGCTAAGTAGTAACCCTCCTGCCTCAACAAAGACCTGGAACCCCCGCTGCGCCTATTGGGATCCACATACAAGTTCTCTTCCTTTACATCCAAGGCTGGTTTGACTTGGTGTTGTAATGTAAAACATGTGCAAAATCCTTAGCAAAATACAGGTTGTTCGGTGACCCTAAAAAACATGTTTTGAATCTATATAAGGTATCCCCTCCTGTTTTCGGGTGTCAGATCAGAGCTGTGGGCTGCGGCTTGCAAGAGTCCAGGTTCCAGGATGGAGATTGAGTAGTATTAATCATAAACCCCTCTCATTTGGATTATATAACCTCTGCATATGGGGTGTGAGGGTATCAAGCAATATTCTACATGTTGGATTCTAATAGGATCATGCCGCATCCACCCAAATCAACACGTGGCGACTCATCAGTCGCCGGTGTGGAGAAAAGAGGTTCATTTGAGGTCACCGTGTATGGATGTATACATAGACCACCATAGACCAAAATGCACAACACCCAAAATGAATATGGCCTTCAAGCCTTTATGTGATCAAAAAAGGGGGTCACATGTTCACAAGGTAGATATGTTTATCTAATTACGTACTTATTACTTTGTATATCTGTATCATTACTTTTGTACACAGTCACTATCAATTTGAGGCAAGTCTGCAGCAGGTCTCACTGATGGGGAAGAAACACATCGTCCAGTTGCAATTGCAAGGAAACTCCCATGGAAGGCTCCGTTTCGCCCGCAGACCAAGCCAATCACAGTGCCTGCGCTGCCAGACCGCTGGATCACAGGATTTGCTGTCAATGTCGACATGATGTTTATACCAGTGTCCCGTTGCGGGGTGTCTAAGAGGTTGAGGCGTGTCCATGAAGCACGGTCTCATGTGCCTGTACGCCCGTATGCCTTTCGTCTACTTTGAGGGGTCAGATGTGAAGCCTTGGTCTTTCGGCGTTCGTCAGGTGTGTCATGGGCTTCGCGGTCCTGAATGTGGTGTCCGCGGTGTTTGTGCAACAGGCCCCCACGGACGTTTCGCGATACGGTGTCAAAACGAGCTGATTTCGAAGCACAGAAAGCTGTGGGCGGCGCTAAATGCGGTGGAAACATCCTTGGAGGTTTCCAAAGCATCTATGTTATATAATGATATTGATAGGTTAAACTTGTAAAAACATACAAACATATGACTACATTGGCCCTTGAAATTCCCAGCCCAGCTGCTTCAAGATTGGCTTTTTGGAGTGTTCTTGAGTGAGCTTTGGGTGATCTCTTTGTGTCTGAAATCGCCTATCAAGATCGGTCACTTTGAAGAACCAGGTGGAAGCCTCGTCTTGACATCTTTCAAGGAAAGCCTCGTGAGGCCAACGGCAAAAAACAACAGGTTTTCCACTCGATGATTCTGGCCCGAGGTCCGTTTTTCACTCCATGGACGCAAGAAGTTGATTCCAGACTTTTTACGCAGGAATGGATTTTACGCAAGGTGTTGGAACCGCCGTTGGAAGCACCGTGCCATGCGGTCACTTCTTTTTGTTGAGGCATGAAGGGTCATGGGAATGGAACAGTTGACCTATCAGGCCAGGATGGTCCCACGGATGGTCTGGTCACACTGGTCACCTCACACCCGACCCTGGTCTGGTCACCCTTTCTCAGCAGATTGGATGAGTCGAAGAAGCCACCCGCGGTGACCCGCAGAGTCAACAAAAAGAGAGTCCGCAAGGCCAGGACCCAGGACGACGAGACGTCCATGAGTACCTGAGCACCGGTCATGGATGGTCCAACGAGCCAAATCCAGATAAATCCATGAAAAAACGGTTCCATTTCGGAGACTGGCCATGGAAAACGCTTTCTCCATGTCCAGTTTGCAGATGCGGTTCTTGAACCAGCGATGCCAGGAGTGTTTTGGACGACGGACGGCCTACCGACCGACTCGGCAGGCCATGAAGACTGCGTCGAGCGATGAGGAGCTGGCCTTCCGACAGAAGGAGCGAGAAGTCCAGGCCTGCAACCGACTCTTTGGGCGTTGTAAATATGAAAACGGATGGATTGGGATGGGATGGAATGGGATGGGATGGGATTGGGATGGGATGGGATGGAATGGGATGGGATGGATGGATTGGATTGGATTGGATTGGGTTGGATTGGATCAGTAAGATTATGTAGGTCATGGCGAGTCTGGAGTAGGCTGTGGGTCACCGTTGCCCGGGTTGACCCGGGTTGATCGGGGTGGTGTTTCGTGGTCCAGTCCGGCACCATTTGGGATGCCCCGTGCAGGGAGATTCCAAACACTTCATGAGTTCCCAGACATCGGAAGAACAATACTATACGGGTTTGGTATGGGTTTCATCCCATTACCATCCATTGCCTTTAACACTCAGTGAACAATTATCACCATATGATCATCCACTGGGCCCTGGATGAGGACCTGGAACCCGGACCATTGGAGATCCTAACCCTGTTGGGCTCCGGTCGTACCTTCTAAGAAGGTGTTTGAGGTGGGTTACCTTCTAAGGAGGTACGATCGGAGCCTTTGGGTTGGGGTAAGAGATGGTTGACACCAACCTCACCAAACCCGTTGCAGATGTCCAGCGTTCGACTGTTGATGAATCAAGTCTGTCGGTCTTGACCGACCTGGAGAAGTAACACCATTCCGGTCTACATGGCCTGTACCTGGTTCTTTTTCAGACCATGGGGTTGAAATATCATCAACTATCTACATGGCCGTCTATCATCCTATATCCCTAGGCCAGGGCTCCTGGCCTAATATTGTCCTGAGGTCTGGTGCTTGGAGTGGGTGCCAGGCATTATCTAACCACCTAACCTCTCAGGATATGGGCCCTTCGGAGCCCTAGGGTATCGACATATGACCGGTCGGACCTGGTCGGACCTGGTCGACCAGTGGAGCACTGGAGCGGATCGTGACCGATGGATTTCGTTTCGAAGAGACGGATGGATTTGCATCGATGGGTTCAGAACATCTGGGGTGTCCGGCATTTGGGCCGTCCATCGCCAAATCTATAAGTCGAAGATAATCCATCGCTACGAACCGAAGGCCTTGTCAATCATCGCGTCATGTGGTCATGCGATCTGGGTTCACATCGCGTTAAGTCTTTGTTTTGGCGTTAAGCACTTGTCAATGTCCGATGGCCGCCTGAAAAATATGGTCGGACATTCTGGTCCGATGGCCGCCATCGCCCAGGAAAGGTCTTGAAGCTGTTCCAGTCCATCGACCATTCAGGTGAGGAAGCTGATGTGGACGGCCAGTGGTCACCCAGTGGTTTACCTGATGACATTGGTCGCCCAGTGGAAGAAATTGAGATGTGTTTTTTTTCACAGCAAGTGGGATGACTGTGCAAGCTGCTCATTCTAACCTAATGTTGGAACTTGATGAATGATCTCCCCGATGATTCCTGTATGCTAAATCATAATCATTGTTTCTGTGATCCATGAATCAAGAAACACAACATCCAAGATGTTCTAGAGCCCCTGCTGCAGGTAGCCAGAGGGGCCGATGGACTCTTTCTTCCTGTCGTTCAAAGAGTTTAATTTACATAACTATCATAATAAAACGCATTTAGAGGCAGAACTGAAACATTACTATCATAACTATCATAAGTTTCGTGCATTTAACAAAAATGCACAGACGTTCGTCGGTCAAGCTGGTATGCTTTGGTGACCGGTTTCTCGGTTTCGGTTTGCAACCCGAGAGACAGACAGAGCCGACCAGACCCGGGAGACAGACGAAACGCAGGGGTGAAAGGGCAGGGCCGAGCACCACTGGTTCGGATCGGGATTCTTCATGATTCTGGGAACAAACCCTAGGGCTCCTCTGGCCGCCCCCCTTGGTTTCGGTTGGGTGTTCTTGGGGTGGGTGCCAGGGGGGGTCGAGTCTAACCACCGAACCGGAGATGGGACGATCGGAGCCCCATAGGGAGAAACATTGAAACAACAACTGTTCGTCACAAGAACACCAAGGCAGTGTCGTCTCACGGACCCTTCGTCCACGCTGTCCAGACGGTCGGCAGTGTTGGACCTGACAGACTCAGTTCGGCCGACTCAGGGGCCGTTGAAGTGCTTTGGTCTTAGAAGTGGTAGGTCAAAGAATCTCTCCAACCAAACCATAGAAGGTTGTCCATGTCTGGTAATCTCTTTTAGTTAATGGGTTTTGATTTGACTCACAGCCAAGTGGCTAGTTGTTTTGCTTGAAGGATATTGGGTTTTGATAATAGCGATCAGCTTGGCATAGGGAAATGACCTACACAGCCGAAGGCTGAGAACGATTTCAGCACTGCGAAAGGCTGCCTTTGTAAGAGCTTTGCGGCACTGCAACATTAGAAAACCCAACTTCCTACAATTCCCAGACGATCCATGGGATTGGGCTAGTGACTTACAGTCGCACATGGGGTAAATGTACATCCACGGACGGTCTGGGATTCTTCTTTGTTTACTCATTCTCTCCGAAAACGATGTCTACAGCCTGAAGGTCTTTCTAAAGACAAAAACAGTCAGCAGCCTGAGGGTTTCATGGGTCCATTCTATCTAGGCGAGCACTCTTGGAAGGAAGACACCTGACAGTCACCTGACAGCAATAGTAAGAAGCACGTGTAGATAGTATATGCTATAGATAGACTCACTATTGACAGACTCGGAAGTTTTGGATTTTGGGGTGTCCAGAGACTGTCCATCTTCCATCCATCACCAATCGGTCGGTGGGGTGCTCGACTTCGTCGCAGGTGATGGGGCCATCAGCCTGGAGGATTGGGTTGAAAGAGACAACATGAGATGGGTTGAATCATTGGATGAACCCCATCACTCGGATGAATGATTGGCTAAAATATGCTATGACTTGACATGAATGAGATCGGATGAGTGATTTGGCAACCAACTACAGCACTGTTTTGGACAGATGGTTGTTTTGGGATTCCACAACGAGAAACAGCGTTTCTGTTAGGCGTCAAACCGGAAAGATGCAGTTCTCTGAGCGCCGCTCGCTGTGACTGTGTGCTGCTCTGGGTGAGGAGTTCGAGAAACTGGTGCAGTCGCCCAAGCTCAAGTTTTGGATGAGCCAGTTGGAGCCACTTGGACGACGAGCATGATCCAGTTTTTCGGTGTTCCGTTTGGGTGCCGAATGTCCGAAGAGGCGTTTGGTTTTTGGGAGTGCGATGGAGAGAAGGGAGTGGCAACAAAGGACAAAAAGGTCTTATCGGGACAATAATAGGGGTCTAAGCATGTGAAGCCTATTGGAGACCACACAGTGTGGGAACTTCCTGAATCCTGAAACATCCTGAGACAATCGACTAAGTGTTTTGCTTGGGAAAGAACGGATTTGGAGAGCAGACTATAGTGACAAATGTAGTTTGGCAAGTTTGGTGAATTGGCGCCAGTCAGTAGAGAACTTGATCCTCCTTAGCCCTGGAAGAATTGGACATGGAGAGACATGGTATAGAAGTCTAGTTCACTGGTTCGCATCAAAAGAGGTGCGAGAGGGAGTGCTGATGTGAGCCTGGCTAAAGACGACGGCAACCCTGAGAAAAACAAAGCCCTTACTGTCCCTACACCTCCAGTCGTACCTCCTCAGAAGGTATTTGGACCCTCCAAACCCACCCCAAACACCTTCTCAGAAGGTATAGTACTTGGAGGCCTATAGTTTCACGTCATCTCTTCCGCTCACAATCGATGACCGGACATTTCGCCACTCGCGGGGTCTCCCTGCCAGGCGGGCGTTCCGACCCCGTGGAAGAAGGGAAATAGACCAGTCTACCATCCCAAAACCCATTGCTTTAGGGTCACCCGATTCAAAGACAAATACTCACTTAAGGCGGCTCTCAGAAGCGAAAAAACCGCAGCCCTGGGCCCAAGCGGTGTTTTTTTCGGCACGGTACTGCACCTTATAGTGGTAATTGGATCCACTGGGTCTTATATATACTACATGCTTTGATTCCGGTGCAGCATCTCGACTTGTTTGGCTTTCAGAAGTACCTTCGCTCCTCAACTTTCTTTCGGCTTGTCGAACGACACAGATTGCAGAATGGCCAAGGTTGACAGAATGGACATGAACTGAAGGGCAAGAGTCTTACACCAGACACACTTCATACCATGAAAAAGCTTGACCCTTCCGAACTTCCCAAGGGGTTTCTCCAAGATCACAAGGTATTGGAGCTTGGAAAGGTGTGTGCGGTTATGTGTGTGCTACTCGGGTCAAAAACGCTGCGGGGGTGCTCACAGTGCTCACGATGTGCGTGGTTTTGGGACCGTTCAGGGACGGCCATGCCAAACGGAGCATGTGCAGTGCAGGATGCTATAATAGGCGAAGCGCGGGCTCCGAACATGCCCCTGGAGGCATGACCGAAAATGACTGAAACGCAATAGAGAGGTGCTGGCGGAGATCACGGACCTGGCAAGTTCTGGTGTGACCCAAGCTGGAACATCCAAGCAAGTGTTTGTGGAGCACCTTCTGCACACTAGCAGCACTAGCATTGTGGAAGGTGCTCCTGTTCAAGCTTGAGGCGCAGAACGACTGACGGACCGAGCGGAGCCAGTTGGAGTTGGGGTAGACACGAGCGGAAAAGAAGGACCGAGCGAGCTCTCCGCTCCAGGTCTTGAGGCAGGGTTCATTCGAACATATTTTGAAGTGTCCCACATCCACCAACAGCTGCAGTGGATCCACGAGTTGGCCCGGACGCCGTTGGACGCCGGAACTCGCCGGCACCAGGACTGACCCGGAGGACTGACCCAGGAGGACTCGGCCGCGGGGACTCTGGGGAGCGGTGGGTCTTTCAGGGTGCCGTTCTCAGGGTCTGTGTGAGTTTTCTGGATTGTGTTGATCGCGGTAAGATACTCTACATATCATATTCTTACCGCGATCCGATCAAGATGTTCTTGCCTAGTATAATGGTTTCTACCGGTTGTCTAGACATGTCTAAACGATTCTTTTCGTGAACAAGGCACGACGGCACGATTCCCTGAAGCCTTACAAGTGTTCTTCGTGACGCACCACCACGTATTTCCAAGTGGGCCGAGTCTGAGGATGTCAGAACAGATTTTGCTAGGCCCGGTTCCTTTCAATTTGTTCCTAGAGCTAGGGCCTGAGTGACCTCTACCTTGGACCACCAACCACCCAACATAGTATGTTTTCCTATCAAAAAAGATGTCGTGCCTGGGCTCTAGGCTTGCAATGCACTACTTGTCTGGACATGTTCGGACCATCTCGGGCAAACCATCCAAGACCAGTACTTTACCCTTTTGGAGCAGTAGACTCACCACTGTTTGGTGCTGTTGGGAGGACCAACCCCAAGTCACTGCCACTGTTTTCATGGTGACCATGTGTTGTTTTTCTCCATCATTCAATGGAAACCATCAGGCTTTGGGACGTGTTCACCCCATTCCACCACCCAATAAAAGCGACCAAATCGGCCTGAACGGCTGACCGAGGATTGACTTTCTGGGACACGAAACGGGATCGATTGAATGGGAAAACCCGTCGGTTTGCCGCCGAGGTTGGAGTACCACGATTTGCTGAGTTTGTTTGAGTTCCTCGACAATGGTGCCCTGGATTTTGCTTAGATTGTTTTAGTTTGTACCTTTGCCACAGCTCCTTGTTTAAGGAGTTTATAACAGGCAAGTTTTGTTTTTGGTTCGGTACGCAAATCCAAGGTGATGGACAAATCACGCTGCTTTGCTCGCATGTTATTCTCTCAGACAATATTGAAGGAACATTTTGAAGTTTACACATTTGATGGGCATGGCTGAAATCTTGTTTTGTGCGCCGATAAGGAACTGTACAATTGTACAACCTGTTGAGGCTGAAGGTTGTGCCATTTTGCCATCATTGATCCAAACCAAACCAAACCTTGTTGCAAGAGTTCGTTGTAGCGTGGTGATAATGACCCTGGGATTCATCGCTTTACAAAGACAAGCAGGTCAACCATTCTTTTAAATGGTCGAGCTGAAGGTAACGCTGAGTCAAGTGGAATCATGGTTCAGGTGTGGAAGGGATTGGAAGTTTGGCCCTCAAACCAGGGCCAGAATTCCTTGTGTGGTGCAATTACTTGTTGGACTTTCAGAAGCATCACACACTTATACATAGGAGCGATTCTAAGAAGGCATGCAACATATACACATTGAAACAGCCTCGAAGGATCTGATGTTCGGACATCCTGACGTCAGATGCTGGCAATGAAATCAGAGAGGTTGAAGTCAACATGCAGCAAACATGCACCTCCCTGCGGCAAAAGCAGGTTCATGTTTTGCCTTTGAAGCTCAGGCTCTTCAAGACTTGTCGCCACCCTGCACTCATGTGTGGCGACAGGTTGGCCACCCATGCCGACAGGTTGGCGAAATTGACTGGCAGTGAACGTCCATTTTACATCATTTTACCCCCAGGTTCATTTCAAAGGTGCAAACAGAGCGTTGTCCCAAGTGACCATAAGTTACTCATATTATGATAATCCAAACCGACAACAGGTCGTGCTTTGGATCAAATTTAAGGTCATACACAGTAAAAATTGGCCCGCGACAACTGGACCCAACAAGTACCCTCGAAAATAGCTAGGACCTGTTCGAGTTTTAAAATACACACTGCATGTGGTACGAAGTATGAGGGTACCATTCAGTCCGTCCGAGTTCGAAAACGTCAAGGCTGGTGGAGTTCATAGAGGGTGCTCAGCGCTTGCGCGGGGGCGCGAAAGCGCTGGACATTTGGCGCATGGAAACGAAGATCGAGGCCGGGACGGATCATGTCCATTGGACTCGCAAAGGAGTCCATTGACTGTTGTGCCGCATTCATGGGTTTAAATGTCCTTGGGTCCCTGGGGGGGGTTTTCAGACATCAAAAAGGTGTGCCATGCAGTGAATGGTTTGTGTTTGTCTAGGAATGACATCGTTTCATGTTTGGTAATTCTTGAGTTATTGGGCATATTGTGTGTTATTTATTGCTGACAGTTCTTGGAAGCTTCAACTAAAAGGAGAGAGGGGCTCATCACGCCTCATGCATTGATTTCTACATTCAGAGGGCAGTTACGTGGAGAGTAGTTCGACCTGCGCTTGGTTTTGGTGGTCGGGCTGTTACGACTATTTTGGTGTGCGGGCTTGCCCCTAACGTGCTTGTGACCGCATGTGCGTTTTCTTCTTGGGTAGAGTAAACCGCCTGCTTCTTTGCTAAGATGATTTCCTGGTCTTGTTCGTTGGCGAGCTGCCACAGCACGGGCACGTCTCATTCCACACTTCAAAGGCCTTCTTCTCGAGGACTTCTGGTCTTTTTTTGTAGCTGCTCACCTGCTGCTTCTGGTGCTGCTGCCCTCACAGCCAGCCCTAAACTACGGGATACCCAGGACGCCCATCATTTCCCATCCAGGGTCAAGTTTTGCTCGCCCGGTAGTTGGACCTGAGATGGCCCTCTCATTGGCCCCACCACACCACATCGAACAAGAGATCTAGTACTTGGGAAGACTTGACCAAACCAAACAACCGAGCATCACCGAGCTCTGCTGAGGTGCTCTTTGAAGAGGTCCTCAAAAGCCTCACCCGGCCCAGTGCTGACTTGGTAGTCGAGGCCAGCGCACCATTGAGCAGTCCTGCCGACACCCCCGAGACCACCGACGAGAGACCCAGCAGAAGCCCTTCCAAGGAGCCTTGGTGCTGCACGGTATTTCACAGGGTGTTTTTTGGTGGTGAAACATGGTTAACCTTGGTGCTGCAGGTTCTTTTTAAATTCACTGGGGACCGGAGTAGGGGGGCGCGAACGAGTCCGAGTCCGGATGAACTGGTGGGTGACCGCGAGTCCGAAGCGATAGGACGACTTGATTCTTTGGACTAACGATGTGGAGTTCGCGTGCACTAGGGGTTTGGGGTTGCTTCTAGATCATGGCCAATCCATATAGACTGGAGGCTTCTTCATGTTACTTCCTTAAGACATGCTGGAGACAGACTTTAGATATTGTTAGAGTATTTTGAGTATTTGGATTCTTTTTGGGTGAATGCGGAGTGGGCATCAGGCATCAGAGTGCTAACTGGTTTTTGCAAGAAGTATATCAGTATATCATAGTATATCATTCTTCTCCACGGGCAAAGAATCCTTTTTCACGCCTTGGAATGTGTTCCCTTGGGCATAAGGTTCTACATACTACATACCTTCTATATATAGAGGTTCAAGTCCCTTTTCTACAAAATCGTGGGGGGGTAGGCACCCTGAAAAGCAATGTTGGAGGCTTGTAAGGATCAACTTGGATGTTTCAGGATTTTAATACAAACCAGTAAACCAGAAGATTTTTGCAAGTGTTGCAAGTGCGATTCTATATAGAGGGTTTTTTAGTTATGGTGAGGTAAATCTACGTATCTATAGAGAGGTGTTGGCTTGGTTTTGAACTTAAGGCACAGCAGTTCTATAGATCGATGTGTGTGTTTTTTCATTTGTTTGAGTTCAAAACTTGCCTCATTGGAACACAATGGAGCACTATAAATTCAAAGTCCCTCAGTGCTGTGCATGAACGCATGAACGTTTTTGTTACGTTTTCCTGTAATTGTGGGTCCTTCCGTCAGGTGTGTTGATGCTTGAGGGGACTTGTAGAAATGTTTATTTGGCTCCAGTGCCATGTACCCTAATTCTATAGAGACCCATTGCCATATGTCTATCCCTTTGATAAGAACACAAGAACGAAACATGTGTTCGGAATAGACTCAGGTCCAGCCTTATACAATTTCTACCATCCATGCTTTCTACTTGTTGCAGGCCCTGAAACTTCCTCCATTCTATAGAGCTGAAACGTGACCCTCCTTCTTGACTATCAACATTGATATTTTATATATCTAAGGTCTATATGCCAATATGGTCTACTTCTGCCCCGAGGTCCCACTGAAATCCAAATAAAAGGTTTATTCGCCGGTCCGAATATGCGCGCTCTCGCATTCTGAGTCCACCGTTCTTCAGTAGTCTGCGCCCCTCCCCCGCTCCGTCGAGGGTCCAACTATCAGGAATAATGTTGGATGCTGATTAGTAATAGGGCCCTCTATAATGCTAAATGTTTGAACATTGATTCTTGACACCCTGTTTGTTTTAAGGGTCCTCTATTATGCTATTTTTTGGGGGGATCCTAATTGGTTATTGCCTGAAAACTATTTAGGGCTAATTACATTCCCTTTTGAAAAATACGACCAGTAATGTTTATTACTACTAAGCCAATGGTTGGCTTGCTGAGAGTATTGATAAGTATAGGTTTCTCAAATTCTTCTTCAAAACTCACAGCTTCCCAAAGCCAGCAATTCCTTAATCAATCCTTTATGTAGTAGTTTGAAAGGATTGCACAGAATACCTAATGACAAAGAACTTCAGAAAGGAAAATTAATACTACAATTAATTACAAAAGGAATCCTCCTAGGAACCCAGATTTGTTTTGGTGGTAGTTTATTATAGAGGATCCTCCATTTGTTTGAGGATGGGGCCCTCCTTCACTAATCAAGATCCAACATTACACCTTATGGGTGACCTTGTGTAGTAACTCGACTCGATCTACTGTATATCCCGCAGGTTTCGACAGACTAGCGATCCACTTTGATTTTACTCTCAGAATCGTTGTTGTGTATCACAGGTGAGCAGCGTTTGCATGGACGATTTCTACAATTACCACTTGAGGATCTCCATTGGATAGCCTAACGTAAAAGTCCACGGGGATACCTGGTAATTTTGCAAACTGCCCATTGCATGTTCTTCTTGACAAAGACATGCCAGGATCCATCAAAGACTGCAACTAAATTCACTCAAAAGGGCATATGCGGCTTTGCGTCCAGATTGAGCCACAATGACTCAACATAATGGAATCTGTCCAGCAAGTATAAAACATAGCTCTTCCGCCATGTGCATACTCGAGAAAGCTGCAGTTTGTATGAACTCCAGAACTCCTTGACTCAGACTCACAATTTTCACAAAGACCTCAAGTTTGTGTTTGTTGTTTTTTCCGGGCGCTCCAAGTACGGTAGGATGGGTGGCCAACTCGGTTTCTTCCATTTTGCCCCTGAGATATGTCGACATTTTGCTAGGCTACTGAGGGTGGACGAAAGGATGGAGAGTTGGCTAGAGTCACTTGGATTCTTTCCCCGGCGATGTCGACCATCCAAACCTCCAGCGCTTTCGCAGTCGCTTTCGGGGTCTTTTTGGATGGAAGACCGCCCGACGGTCTTACGCGGATCTCAAGGGAAAAACGGAAAGGAGGTTTATCCCCATCTGTCCTCACCGGCCTTTGGAGGGTAACAGTTCGCCTATGGCATGACTCGGACTGGCTTGATTGTTCGAATCGGTGACTTCTTCCGTCTCGCGTCGGCGTCTCGCGCTCCGTTCGTTCTCGCGGCTCGACCGGGTTCGTCTAGGAGAGAATCGAGACGGTGAACGTGCACCAAGTCTTTCAGAAGAGTGCCTTTAAGCACATCCGCCCTTTGGCCCTGAAACGCGTGACGGTCGACGGTCGGAGAACGAGGTTTTAAATGCGAACCGGCGTTTGAACTCGAGAGATCCCTGCGAGATTTGGCCCGTTTTGGCCGTCGAGATTTGTTTGTTTGGTGCGTGGTTGTTTGTTTTTGTTCTGTTTGTTGGGGCTCGGCAGATATAATATAACCATAAATGCCCATACTTGGGGAACGGACGATGGACTACAAGTGTACATGTTGAGCAATAGAGCTGTTGACCAATTGATCGAATGCCAAGCCTATACACCACTACCAAGAATTTTCCGGATATATGAGCAACCATTAACCATTTTACAAAAAGTCGTCTACTGCATGGTATATATTTATTGTTTGTCCAACGCATAAACAAGATACTCTTATTTTAATGACACTAAAGTAGTCTGAACGAGATACTATGACATGACCTCCTACTTAAGTAGTCTAAACGGGATAGGGCACCCACAAAATAGATTGCGTATTATACTTGAGTTTAGAATAGTTTAGATAATATACTGTACTCCATTATTGACAAAGATGTAGTTTGGCCGAAATCAATTGGCCATGTTGCATCGAGATGTTTGTTGTTGAGTCCCAATGCCATATGAAGCATGGTCAACGACCAAACAAAGAATTTGGGATGACCAAACACGCAAGGTTCGCTAGAACTTCCAGAGCAGATGCACCAAAACCCTCTCTCTATAAATAAATAAATATATATATATATGTGTGTGTAAGATTATATAAGAAAATATCCATCTGCTCATTGACCTGAAGTCACTTGGGAGTTGGACCCAACCGAAGATGCAGGGACAAGGGTCCACTGTTTGGGAGTGTGGTCCCCAAAGCTAGGCCCTGGGAGTCAAAGACAAAAGAGAACAGTCTTTACCACGACCCTTCCAACAGGTGGCTTTTGGATCCCCCTTAATGGACCTTGTTTTGGAGCTATTAATAGACATCCTTTCAGGGTCCTTTACTTCACTTTGGACAAGTGTAGTCTTTGACACCCCGCAACCCCGCAACCCCTCCTTTTGGTAGGGAAGGGCAAACGCTCGAGCCTGACCAAGAAAGCGTATCCCAACACAGAACACTAGACTAGAGTACCAGTCATCCTTTCATGTTTAATTGGTTTCAGAGTAAACTGCCATACCCTCCAGCTTGTTTTTCTAGATGCTCCATACTTGCAGCTTTTGGATCATTTTGGACGTTTTGTGCGACTCTTTCAAGTCCACTATAAGCTTTATTTAACAAAAAGAAGCGATCACCTAGCGCTTCCAAGGGGTGCCCTGTCTGGAGACCTGTAAGTAGTGTGGAGATGTCCATTGGTGACCCCGAACGGAAGCAGCTGGCATGTACCCTATCTCTGTGTTCTCCCCCTCACCTTTGCTTCGCGGGGCGGTCGTGTGGTCCGAGGCGCCACGACCTCACGGCACTTCGATGCGGAGGAATGTGGATGAGGCCTGCAGCCGCGGGCGGCAGCGGGAGGAGTTCACGGTGTCCGAGCGAGAAGAGTGGCGCCAGATCATGCTAGTACATCTGTTTGATCTACATGATACAAGTTCCAACATGCCAAATGCATTGAGCGATGCACGACTGCCGACCTAGCTTCACCTAACGAGCTGACCGAGGAGCAACGGAAGTAGGGCCGACAACCTTGTTGGAACGCTCACCATGAACATGCTGTAGCAGGTATGTCAGAGTGGCCAACTCTGATACGACGGACGTTTTCGTTGTCCTTTTCGTTGGTACCTGGAGTCGACCCGTTCGTACCTCGAGTTCAATGGGTACAAGTAGCCGTTTTTATGTGGTCATGTCCCATTTTCTATTGCACTTTGGAGGCTCCAGGTACTTGTCTCGATCTGCCCCCCACGTCGGACAGTCGACCGTTCGGAATCAGAGGTCAGAAGAGCGCCAGCTCCACGGTCGAACTGAAGCGGCCTCACCACCCGGTGGTGAACCCCCACCATAGTTAGAAAAACCATGAAAAACCGGTCGACAGGCCCAACAAATTCAACTCATGTTACATGTCATATGGATGTGTGTCACTGTCAAATTGTTTTCGGGCTTCGTGGTGGAGAGAAGGGCATCTTGTGGAAGGATCAATTCCAGGACCTGGATTTGGACTCAAAAACCTGGTTCTTTGGGTTTGAGTGCAACTTTGGAAGGCATGGTCCACCCGTCCGGCTTGTGCAGGAACTCCACTGCAGCAGCTGTTTTTGACAGGGCTGGATGCGCATACTTGCAGCATACTGTAGCGAGGTAGTGTGCACCGAGATTAAGACAGGTTGAGGCCCCAAGGGCAACAGATGATGTTCCAAATTAGCCAGTCACAGTATTCTACAGGTGTGTGTTGGTTGGATTTGCCCCTGGCAGACAAAATTTAATGCTCTTTTGATATTTCGTTTGTCAAACACAGCGCCACTTGATTCTGGCTATCAAACCCAGTTGATTGTTGCAAAGCCTTTGCCGAACGAATTCCAAAAACCCCTGGGTTCCCCAGCGATAGGAGACGCCAGCATTTGCTCCATTCTTGGTTGCTGACTCATGATATAATTAAGCATACTTGAGATGTCCTTTGCTAATTGCTGCAAACCACCGTTTGTACTGTGAGAGCTCTCCTCCCACGGGCTGTCAGGATTTCTTGGCTCGACCATGCCCCAAATTTATGCTGTGGGAATGCAACAAATCCAGCCCTGCACTGAATCCATCATTTGAAGGCCAAAAAAGACGTCACGCTGGTGATTCAGGAATCGTTCAGGGAGTGTTGAGCTATCCGGAGTGGATGAGCGACTCGCTGCAATTTGGCATGATGTTCTGGAACTATCAACTGGGATACAACTGGGAGTTGTTCATTGCACCTCTCCGGGTGATATACCAAGCGACCAGCGTCCAGTGCAGATATGAATCAGGATTTAGGGCAGAAAGTTGTTGCGGGTTGAGCTGGAGCCTCCAGTCTTCTACCCTGAATAGATTCAATTTCCAGTCCAAGATGCCAAAAGACAACCTTTTACTTGTAACTGCAAATCACGTCCTCGACAACTATTCTTATCCATTCTTGTCCGTATCCTACCAAAAGATAACAACACATGTAACAACAAGTAGTTGTAAGGCTGAGCAGGTACCAGCACCACCCAAGGTTCAAGGGATTGTTGTGGTTTGGGTGTGTCCCACATTACCATGTAACAGTTTACTTTTAAAAAAAAGAGAAAACACGAAGGAAACACATGCACTGCAACCAGGCCCCATCATCATCCATCATCCACCATCCGCTGGGCCATGGGTGTTTGGGAGATACCGAGATACCCAATAATGATTGTATCGTAAATGGATGCAAAGGGTAAAGAGGGCGCTCAGGGGAATCAATTTCAATTGGGTCGGCGTTTTACCGCCCAGCGTTTTCCTTTTCTAGAACGCAGAGGACTGAACATGAGTTCACTATACACCGCAAATTTGCCTTTGATGGATGAACGAAACAGCTTAAACCTGGGATAAGATTTGGATAAGGCGTTCGGCATAGCTTCTTTCTAAAACCAGCAGTTGTTGACAACAAGCGTCGTTTTGAATCACCTGCCAGGGCTCAGATAGGGCTCAGATTGATCAGCCAGCGAGCCCGGATAAGTTGAACAAAGAACAGGTTGCACACCGCACCACGGCTTGTGAAGCTGCAGGCTCTCGCAGGAGACTTGATGTTCATGGTTCAATTCACTGCATGATATATGTTCAATGTAGTCTCGTCTCACTCCATGAGACTGACAGATATAAATGATATAATGAACAATTAGGGGTGGTTTGAGCACTTTAGTCCCCATGAAATGCTTACGATTGACCTTCGCTTAAGGAAGCTGTGGCTGGTTCTGTGCACCCCTGTCGAAGTCTTTTGCAGCACCTTTTGCGATTCTCGGGCAAAAGACAGGGCCTGTCCATGTGAGAAAACCAGTGGGCGAGGAACACCTGTGCCCGACCTGACAATCGAAGTTCTGAGAGTAACAAAGACATCGGAAAAGACATTCGCATGCCTAAGATAGCAATGGCCTCCAACCTACTAGCGATGGCCTCCCTTAGAGCCTCCAACCTAAGGGTGATGGAGAATCTTTCAATGTTTAGAGAAGATTGATGGATTGAGGAATATGAATGAAGACTGGCAGAGCTTGCGACCATTTGTTGGGCTTGTCAAAAATGAGTGATTGCAAGCAAGTATATCATGAATGTCTCATGTGGGTTCTTTGGGATGTGATGTATCATGTGTTTGCATGTGATACCTGGATTTGTTGCTCTCCGAACTAAAGGGTAAGGGTAGATCCACCTCTCTTCGGCGTGATATTGAAGAATTGGCTGCGGCAAAGCCGCGCTTTGCTCACGTACTTAGGGGGCCGCTTACTTATAACTTGACTTATAACAACTTATCTATAAGTCCATGTAAGTCCACTTAGGCCTAAGTCCATGTAAGTTCATCAAGTCCGTGTAATCGATCATAAGTTCAACAGCCTTGTTTCTTTTAAAAAAAACTTGTCACGTATGTTTTTTCTTGTTTCCGATGTTGCAAAGTGTATCAGAGCGGTCAACGCACCATCAAATACGCAATGTATATATACTCGTCCATCACGTCTCTCCGCCACGCAGTTTACTGAAAAGGGACACTTGGCTATGTCTATACGCACTCGTTCTTTTGAGCCCGGCTGCATGCCCTCAAATGAATACCACCGAATCTCGACGTTGTGCGTGAGTCCACGAGACACTTACGAGACATCACGAGACATCTCACCGTGCTATGTTTAGGGACGTCCCACCTTTACTGCTATATTGCGAGACACCACGAGACATCGCGGAGACTATACCCCTGTCCGACCCACGAGACATTTACGAGACACTCACTTTTCATTACTTTTCTCTCCTCGCGGGCTGTGCTTGACTCCGCTGCTCTTCTCTATAGGCTGTCCTACAGAGGCCCCAGTAGGCCAAGCGCGCTCTCCACGCGGTACGCAGGAGCCAGCAGTAGACCGCAAGCATCCAACGCAAGTGTCATGCTTCCTGTATTCTTCATTTTTCCATGTGTTTTGTGCGCACTTCCAGCAAAACGGTTTCAAACTCTATGGGTTCGCTAAGTATGGCTAACTCCGCTAAGTCCGAACTATAGATTCGCTCATTGCACTTAACCTAACTTAACCCAACTTAAGGTTCAAGCCTTACAAGTCTACCTAAGTCAGGACTTAAGTCCACCTAACCAGCCATGAACTTAGATACGTTAGGACCTAACTTATGGACGTTAAGATCTAACTTTCAATAACTTATAACTTGACTTATAAGTAGGCGGCCCCCTAAGTAGGTCAACGTTGAACGCTGACCGCTTGAAGAGCGGGAAGCGGTGCTTTTCAGATATGGAAGTGGGTCAAGGAGTCAACTTTCCGTCAGAGTTCACCTTTGAACTTTGAGACATCAAGTTGTCAATTCTTGGTGAGTGTTATGACATGTTATGACATGTTATGAATCCCATTTTGTGGCACGGTGACTCTTGACTCCCCATGTGTTGCTTGTGCGACAGCTTGACAGCTTGGTCGAGTGCAAGAGAACAGAGCTCCAGACCGAGGACGGCCGTGGCGTCCACTCACTGTCCGATGGACGTGGATGGCACCCCCTGTCCGTAGAGAAGAATGGTCTTCCTGCCCGGGTTGTGACTGAATTGGTGCGTTCGTATTGAAGTTCTTGTGTCAGGTGAAGGGTTTCGGAAGGCTTGGGCTGCATAGAAAACATGTCTGACCCTCTCCAAGACAGCAAAAAGGGTATTGAATTACTGTTGCTGTCCAGCACCTCTTAGCTTTGCTGGTTTACGGATTTTTGTGAGATCTCCACTAACATCCTTTCCATTTCTGCAATTGAACGTCCAAGTAGCAGTTGTGCCACTTCTGTCGACAGAACTCTCGTGCAGCACTTGGTTTCAGCGTTCGTCTCAGTGTTCTGCCAGGAGGCCGAGCAACGCTTTCGGGAGGTGGCCGAAGCCTATGAGGCGAGCCGGCGCGGTCCCGGACTGGGGGTCCCGGACTGGGACGACCTGTGGCCACTAGTGGCCACTCGGTGGACCAGAAGTCCCTTAAAACCAGTTCGAACGTTACAATTGTAAAAGATCAAAGCACAATCATCAGCATCCCAAATTTTTTCTATCAAATTTGGTGCTGAACCATTGAAACCCTCCCCATCTGGCCATTCTCGAAGGATGTTCTATATAATTAGTAATTTAGGATATATAAGGTCAACTCCCTCCTACCAATGACCAAGGACCTTCCAACAGAGAATTTTTGGACACTCCTTAGCCTCGAAAGAGGCTATTTAGGCACCTCTTGGGAGGTCCTGGTAGAGGGAATATGTGTTTCTTTCTCCACCAGGTTCCTGGGAGCGCCTCAACTCCAAGCCCACCTTGGTTTCGGGGACGCGGTTTTCCGCGGTTTCCAATTCGGAGCAAGCT